TATTAGATGGCGCACATGACGTGAAATAAATACTTATAAACATTAAACCGAAGCCAAGAGTAACGAGTAACGTTCGTTTTAAAAATGTGTGGAATTGAAAGTACAGATAATTGTGTGGAAATGTAATGAGTATGTAACCCAGGCGTAAAAAAACTGGTTTAACTAATAGATTCAAATTAAGTTAAATTATTTCTACATGAAAATTATTATTTTGTTCACATTTTCATTTATTTTTGTAGTTGATTTTTTTTGTTTCATTATTAGTTTTTCATGTTTATATTAAGAAAATCGATTAAAAATGTCATGTAACGTCACTCAGCTTAACCAAGCAGAGTTGATGGACAGATGTAGCAGCCAATGAAATGTCACATTCAGCCACTGTGTCTGCGCACTACCTACTTACTTCCTTTTTTCCGTCTGGAGCTGAGCAAATAGACGCCACACAAGAGTTCTTTAACAAAACGTAATGAGTACAGGAGTTAAATAAAACGTTCAGCAACTTAGGAGGAGTCCAGGGCCACTTTGGACTAGAGAAGACAAGTGCTGAAACGGTGGCAGCGGACAAGCCTTTTGACCACGCTGGGATTGAGCTGTGACATCACACTGTTGCAGTGTATATGCAAATGGGTCAGGTCTTTAGATGTATGGTCAAGATCCGTGGAGAAGAATCTGTAAGATGGCGAGCCAACCCAATTGAGCCAAGGAACCAGAGTCTACACACACTTGCAACGAGCAGATGGACCATCTGCTGTGGTAGGACTGTATCAAGCAACCTGCATGGATACTTGTTGAACTCAGAGACAGGATTAAGTAGTGCACTCCATTAGACAGACTCATTCACCAATTAAAAGTTAACAAAACCCTAGGGTAAACAAAGACATTGGGGATTTAAAAGGTGCCTTTTTGTTTATATTTTTTTCTTTTGTATGCCAATGTCTGTAATTACCTTTTGTGTCGACTAGTTCTACTAAACTACAGTTCATATTTGAAACCCTTTTGGGTTTGTGCTTTTATTGTGGCTGTTGAGTTAATTCAGTCGAGCTCTGTTTGGACCTAGTTTAATAATACATTTGATAACTCATAGGTGGGTTACAAGTAGTGTTGCACCGATACCGATACTAGTATCTGATGGGGCCCCGATACTGCCCTAAAATGGTGGTATC